TGAGATTGCTTACGATCGTAATCCTGCTGGATACAAACGCAAATCCATTCAAAACTAACTCTTCTTACCCAATTTTCCAAGCTAAACACGAATCTGAACTAAATTGCTGTGATTTCTAAAGATATAATATCACTGTGAGAGTAGAGTCAGTGGTTAACGGATAGGGTCGCATACAGTATAGTCCATGCTAACTTAGCACGTCTGTATTTTCTCCTTGCAATTTAGTGATAAAAAATACAGTGAATATACCGTTTTCACTTTTTGAAGTACACATAACACTCGGATTTAAATCCGAGGTTTTCGCATTTATTTTATAATAAGATAGGATGAAAAAAACAAAGGAAAAATACGATATACTAAACAATTGTAAATGATTGTCTAGACGTTTATTATAATGAATGAGTTTATGAGCAAAAAAAAAAAATTAGAAAATAATTTAAAATTTCAATATATTATAGAATAGATTTATTTTAAATATAGAATATAACTTTTAATCCTAGTCAATCAGTATTAATAAGTATATAAATTAATGTCAAATAATATTGATTATCTTTTTGAGTTTATTAAAACAATTGATAAAAATGAAATAAAAAACGAATAATATTATTAATAAATGTTAACATATATATTTTTTGTTTTCCTTTAAAATAAAATAAAATCTTTTTTTATTTGAAAAAAGAAATAAATGTATTTAGTTTATTGAAAAAAAAGAAAAATGTCACACATAATGATATTGATAAAAATAAGAAATAAGAAATAAGAAATAAGAAATAAGAAATAAACTGACCAGCAGCATAAAATGTAAATATACATAAATATTAATGTTATATTTGCCAAAGAATAAGATGTGAAATCGAATCATCTTTTCCTAAACTATCATCATTATTATTATAATCTTCAAAACCATCTCCAATAGTAATAACAANAAATAATATTTTTATCTATTGAAATTATAAATCTAACAGGTCCAGCATGACCATATGATAAACCTTTTAATTGAATTGAATTTGATGTTAATTTATTATTTGTATTTGTATTTGTTGATAATGAATCAATTAATTGTGGTATTGTTAAATTAAGAATAACACCAGCACTTGTTCCAATCCATAATGTTTCTTTACAAACATAAAGTGTACTTATATAAAGAGAACCTAATTTATGAGAACGAATAATATCATCAGATGCTATTAAACAAAAATATATATATATATATATTATATATTTAATATTATTAAAAT